GCGCGCCAAAGGCGGGCAGCAGGCGGACGTCTCCTCCTCGCCTGTGGCTGTTCAACTGGCCGGGCCCCGTTGGGGCAGCTCGCCCGGCTGCCTCCCCGCAAACCCGCACCTGGCCAGCGGGAAAAGAAACGTCTATCTCCCTAGCCCGCATATAGGGCAGGCCCAGGGCTTTCAGAGTGAACCATTCACAGTGGGATCAGGTGTTAAACAGGCTTGGGTTGTCACTCCAACTCGTATTTATTATTTTCATGGCCATGACCCTGCACATTGTCAAAGGGAAACTCCCCACCGGAGTAGAAATCATTTATCGAACAGATGGAAATCTCTTTCATTTGAGTAGGCTGAAAGCAAAGAGTTGTTGTTGTTTAGTGGTGTCCGCCTCTTCGTGACCCCCTGGACCAGAGCACGCCAGGCACTCCTGTCTTCCACTGCCTCCCGCAGTTTGGTCAAACTCATGTTCGTAGCTTCGAGAACACTGTCCAACCATCTCGTCCTCTGCCGTCCCCTTCTCCTTGTGCCCTCCATCTTTCCCAACATCAGGGTCTTTTTAAGATGCTGTCTAGGTTTCTCATTGCTTTTCTCCCAAGAAGCAGGCGTCTTTCAATTTCGTGACTGCTGTCACCATCTGCAGTGATCATGGAGCCCAAGAAAGTAAAATCTCTCACTGCCTCCATTTCTCCCCCTTCTATTTGCCAGGAGGTGATGGGACCAGTGGCCATGATCTTCATTTTTTTGATGTTGAGCTTCAGACCATATTTTGCGCTCTCCTCTTTCACCCTCATTAAAAGGTTCTTTAATTCCTCCTCACTTTCTGCCATCAAGGTTGTGTCATCTGCATATCTGAGGTTGTTGATATTTCTTCCGGCAATCTTAATTCCAGTTTGGGATTCATCCAGCCCAGCCTTTCGCATGATGTATTCTGCATATAAATTAAATAAGCAGGGAGACAAAATACAGCCTTGTAAGCAAAGAGTAAGGTCACCATAACTTCCATCATGGAGCTTCAATATGCTGATGACAACCTAGTGTGTGCACACTCAGAGGATGAGCTCCGAATCATCCTAAATATATTTGCAGAAGCTTATGAAAAGCTTGGCCTATCACTCAACATCCGCAAAAACAAAGTGTTGCACCAACAAGCACAAAACACCCCTCTGCAGCACCACAAATCCAAGCATAAATCACTTCTACCTGGGCAGCTACCTTTCCACAAGGGCTGACATTCATGCTGAAATCCAGCATCACCTGAGCTCTGCGAATGCAGCTTTCTCTCAATTGAGAACTGGGAGATTTGCAGGGAAACCAAAATGCTTGTTTACAAAGCTATTGTACTAGCAACCTTACTGTAGACTTGTGAAACATGGACCACTTATAAACGCTATCTCCAACTCCTCGAAAGATTCCATCAATGGGGTGTCTGAAAATTTTTACACATCACGTGGGAAGACAGGTGAACTAATATCAGTGTACTGGAAAAAGCAAAGATCATAAGTATCAAACAATGATTCTTCAATATCAACTTTGTTGAACTGGTCATGTGTGGATGCCAGATTATCGTCTTCCAAAGCAACTACTCTACTCCAAATTTAAAAATGGAAAGCGTAATACTGGTGGTCAGTAACAGAGGTTTAAAGACTCTCTCAAGGCATATCTTAAAAGAATGTAGTATAAACACCAACTTGAAAAAACTGGCCTGCGAGCGTTCCAGTTGGAAAACAGCCTTTACCAAAGGTGTCATGGACTTTGAAGACACTAGAACTCAGGACGATAAGGAGAAATGTGCATGTTTGGCAAACCCTCACCATGATCAACTTCTGCCCGGAAACCTATGTCCCCACTGTGGAAGGACATGTGGATCCAGAATTGGCCTCACAGTCACTGTTAAAACCGTGTTCATAGAAGACAATCTTACTCGGCTATCAATAATATCAATTTGTGGTGTTCCCTTTTGATTTATATATACAACATTTGGTTTACTCTTTGTTGAGACCAGCTCTACAATTCTGTGAGCAAACTATGCCTCAAAAGGTGGCCTATAGAAAAAAAAATTATAATTAAATAACCCAAGCCATGTTTACACTCTTTGCCAATAAAAACTGAATCTGAACCTGCTTTGGTAGTCTCAGGCAGGAGCAAGGAGTTACACAGAATGAGGTAACCCTGAGTGCTGTTTGAAGACATACACAAAGCCTGCAAGCACAAAGAAAACTCATGAAACCCAATAGCTTAAATTTTGGGATACAGCCCCCAATGCAAAGCCTGAATGTAAAGTGCAAACTATTTTGATTTTTTTTGTATTGGTCACAGTAACTTTAATAAACACTGCCTAGTGATGAGCTATGAGTAATTAAAAACATGAGACAAACCACAGTAATTTTTATTTCTGCCCCCTCCCCCCACCCACCCCGGTTTGTAAATCAAAATCAAACTATAAACATATTTTGCTCCATCTGACGAAGTAAGGGGGGAGAAAACAATGAGGATGTTGCCTGGGGGGAGCTGGTCAGTCTCTCTCTCCTCCTCCTTGCTTTTGGCACCCAGCTCTACCTCTCTTTTAAATCAGAACCAGTGAAGGCGGTGAAGGTCCTGTGTGAGTGTCTGGAGGCGGTTGGAGGATGGATGGCGGCTAACAGATTGAGGTTGAATCCTGACAAGACAGAAGTACTGTTTTGGGGGGGATGGGCTGGGCAGGTGTGGGGGACTCCCTGGTCCTGAATGGGGTAACTGTGCCCCTGAAGGACCAGGTGTGCAGCCTGGGAGTCATTTTGGACTCACAGCTGTCCATGGAGGCGCAGGTCAATTCTGTGTCCAGGGCAGCTGTTTACCAGCTCCATTGGGTACGCAGGATGAGACCCTATCTGCCTGCAGACTGTCTCGCCACAGTGGTGCATGCTCTAGTTATCTCCCGCTTGGACTACTGCAATGCACTCTATGTGGGGCTAGCTTTGAAGGTAATCCGGAAATTGCAATTAATCCAGAATGCAGCAGCTAGACTGGTGACTGGGAGTGGCCGCCAGGACCACATAACACCGGTCCTGAGAGATCTGCATTGGCTCCCAGTACGTTTCTGAGCACAATTCAAAGTGTTGGTGCTGACCTTTAAAGCCCTAAACGGCCTCAGTCCTGTATACCTGAAGGAGCGTCTCCACCCCCATCGTTCAGCCCGGACACTGAGGTCCAGCGCTGAGGGCCTTCTGGTGGTTCCCTCGTTGCAAGAAGTGAGGTTACAGGGAACCAGACAGAGGCCCTTCTCGGTAGTGGTGCCCACCCTGTGGAACGCCCTCCTATCAGATGTCAAGGAAATAAGCAGCTATCCTATTTTTAAAAGACATCTGAAGGCAGCCCTGTTTAGGATAGTTTGTAATCTTTATTGCTGTGTTGTTTTTAATACTCTATTGGGAGCCACCTGGGACGCGGGTGGCGCTGTGGGTAAAACCTCAGCGCCTAGGACTTGCCGATCGCATGGTCGGCGGTTCGAATCCCCGCAGCGGGGTGCGCTCCCGTCGTTCGGTCCCAGCGCCTGCCAACCTAGCAGTTCGAAAGCACCCCCGGGTGCAAGTAGATAAATAGGGACCGCTTACTAGCGGGAAGGTAAACGGCGTTCCGTGTGCTGCGCTGGCTCGCCAGATGCAGCTTGTCACGCTGGCCACGTGACCCGGAAGTGTCTGCGGACAGCGCTGGCTCCCGGCCTCTAGAGCGAGATGAGCGCACAACCCTAGAGTCTGTCAAGACTGGCCCGTACGGGCAGGGGTACCTTTACCTTTACCTTACCGGGAGCCACCCAGAGTGGCTGGGGAAACTCAGCCAGATGGGCAGGGTATAAATAAATAAATAAAATGATGATGATGATGATGATGATTCTCTAGGCAAGCTGCTCTCTCTGAGCCCCAGCCCCCCACAGTCACTAGCCTCAGTCTGGAGAATCCTCATATTGCCTTTAAAGGTTTACTGAGATCATGTCTATGAAAGACTTAAGCAGTCTGGGAAAAGATTATATAAATACTGTGTTAATACAGAGTTCTTCTAAAGTAATGTGTAAAATGTGCAGCAAATAAATGTCATATCCAGGTTTGGGCGCAAGCCTGGGCAGTGGGGATGGAGGTTCTGGGCTGCTCAAAACCTCCCTCTCGGCCTCTCGGAGGTGCTCCAAATGAAAGAACAATACGCTTGGCGCCAGCTTGGCATTGTCTTGGAACATGGGGCCCAGGAACCATCTGGAAGGAAGGTGATGCTGGACTCAACCCTGAGAGGCACCCAAGACATGGCGGTGTTGTCAGTCATAGGAGTGTGCAGATTTCTCCAATTCTGCTCCATTATTGACCCTCCATTCTGATATTGTTTGGGACATGATAGCTATTGATGAACATGTGGAAAAATGAACAGAGTGAATTTATCCTTCCTCTCTCCTAACTACCAGTCCGTCGTGAACATGACTGACCACAACCAAGAGGAGCAGACTGAACAGGGTGACAGTCAGGCAGAAGTTGCTATTCCTGTCTCACTGAAAGGAGTCTGAATGTATTCTTGCTGAGATGCCCTCCTGTACTCTCTCAGACACATGGTTTATATATTTAGATATGTGTGCCTTTATGAATATTTATTATATATTTGAGTTCTTCTAAAGTAATGTGTAAAACCTGCAGCCAATAAATGCCATGTATTGTTTATGTTTTCAACGTTCATATTAAAAAAAAAAATAGTTGCAAACTAATGTAAATGCATATGATATAGAGAAAACAATTTGATGGAATCTAACAACAATTAGAAGCAAACAATACATCGATTATTTTAATCCAAAGCAAAATAATATGAACCCAGCGTCTATTCGCCAAAGACTTCCAGGTGGGCGGCTTTGCCCTCACTCTGCTCTTTTCCCTGCCCGTCTGCGCATGCGCTACGAAACCTGGAGCCGCCATTTTTGGATCGGGAAAAGTGGAGGGGCGTGGCCCGGAGGCTCACTGCCGATTGGCGCAGCTGAGGCAATGGTCCCGCCCCAATTGGGCCAGGCGACGGAGGAGAGCCCCGCCCTTTCCGGTATGGCCTGCGGCCGGGGGCGCCCCGGCGTGGGCGTCGGAGTGGTGGTCGTCAGCTCTGCCCACCCAGGATGCGTCCTCCTCGGCCAGAGGAAGAGCGCTGTCGGCGCCGGCCTGTTCCAGCTCCCCGGAGGACACCTAGAGTTCGGGTAGGCCTGCGCGGGGCGATGACGCCATTCCGCGTCGTCATCAGGCGACCTCCGCTGAGGGGCTGGGAGGCAGCAGGCCTGGCAGAAGAGAGATCTCTGGGGATCTGCTCCCCGATTTCAGTCACTCGGAAAAATCTCTAGTGTCCTAAAAAGAAAGCTAAATGAGGCCCCTATGTTCGTGCAAACTTCGCCTTCTGGTGCAGCCCAGACCTTATTGCTGGTAGTGATTTCTTTGGGAACAATATCTTATATTTATATTTTCCTGACTTGGACCAATCACCTCATCTACCGCAAAAGGCTGCCGTGAAGTACTATAAGGAAGTATAAAATGTCCGCAAAGGGGGACGTGGTGCTTGTCTCATAGGCATCACAGTTTGGTTCCTCTCACCAGACTGATGCATCTTAGTACTGCACTATGAAGGGTCATGCCTTCTGCTTCCCCACTTTCAAATTAAAGGTAAAGGGACCCCTGACCATTAGGTCCAGTCGTGGCCGACTCTGGGGTTGCGGCGCTCATCTCGCTTTATTGGCCGAGGGAGCCGGCGTACAGCTTCCGGGTCATGTGGCCAGCAGGACTAAGCCACTTCTGACGAACCAGAGCAGCGCAAGTAAACGCTGTTAACCTTCCCGCCGGAGTGGTATCTATTTATCTACTTGCACTTTGACATGCTTTTGAACTGCTAGGTTGGCAGGAGCAGGGACCGAGCAACGGGAGCTCACCCCGTCATTGCGGGGATTCGAACCGTCGACCTTCTGATTGGCATGTCCTAGGCTCTGTGGTTTAACCCACAGCGCCACCCGCGTCCCTTACTTTCAAATTAGTACAGCTCTAATTCGCCCCACTTGTGTTCAATTGAGCTAACTCCTAGGTGTGTGCAAGGGATTGCTTCCAAAGAGGAGCTCTCTCTACTATTTTACTTTTATTTTGGTTGGTTTTAAAAGAGGATTAGACAATTTCATGGAGGATAAGGCTACCAAGAGCTGCTAGCCATGATGGCTATGCGCAGCCTCCATGGTTGCAGGCAGTTTGCTGCTGAATATTAGTTGCTGAAAATAACAGGGAGGCGGACTCCTATTGCGCTCAGGTCTTGCTTGCAGACTCTCAGTAGGCATCTGGTTGGTTACTGAGAAGAGGATGAGCCACATCCAGCAGACACTTTCCCACCTTCGCCGCATCAAGCAGTTGGTCCCTTACCTTTCCCGCCCCGACCTGGCCACAGTGATCCATGTGACGGTCACCTCCAGGCTTGACTACTGTAATTCGCTCTACGTGGGGCTGCCCTTGAAGCTGTCCCAGAAACTCCAGCGGGTGCAGAATGCTGCAGCGAGGCTCCTCACGGGGTCTTTGCCATGGGAGCATATTCACCCAGTGCTTTTCAAGCTGCACTGGCTCTCGGTGGAGTACAGGGTCAGATTTAAGGTGCTGCTTTTGACCTTTAAAGCCCTTCACGGCCTAGGACCCTCGTACCTACGGGACCGCCTCTCCTGGTATGCCCCACGGAGAGCCTCAAGGTCCATAAATAACAACACCCTAGTGGTCCCGGGCCCTAAGGAAGTTAGATTGGCTTCAACCAGAGCCAGGGCCTTCTCAGTGATGGCTCCGGCCTGGTGGAACGCTCTGCCTCATGAGACCAGGGCCCTGCAGGATCTGATTTCTTTCCGCAGGGCCTGTAAGACAGAGTTGTTCCGCCTGGCCTTTGGCTTGGAGCCAATTTGATTCCCTCCCCTCTTTCTTTTTTCTTTTCCTTCTCCTGCAATGAGACTACATTTTAATATTTTAATGTTCCATTATTTTAATGTTGTATTTTATTTTTGTTTTTAAGTTGTAACCATTCTTCTTGTTTTTATTATTGCTTGTAAGCCGCTCTGAGCCCGGCCTTGGCTGGGGAGGGCGGGGTATAAATAATAATAATAATAATAATAATAATAATAATAATAATAGTTGTTGTTGTTGTTGTTGTTGTTGTTGTTGTTGTTGTTGTATATTTATATTTAATCATCTGACTGGACTGGATGACTTATCCCCCCTGCAAACCCAATAGAATTGGTCACGGCCAGTTGATTGAGTGCAGGGGAAACAACCCTCCCCCCATTTTAAATGACCTAATGGATCCATGTTTTTCATATCTTTGATTCTTTTGAGCCCCCTCTTCACGCCTATATTGTCCCTTAAATGGGCGGGGGGAGGGAGGGAAAAGCCATTCAATTACCATCTTTCATGCGGCTTCATGGCTAAGAAGCTGGGCTCTTACTTCAAGCAAATAGAACTGATTATTGCCTTCTCGGTAGAAATAGTATTTCTTTTTTCTTCTTGCTGTTTAGTGAAAGCTTGGCAGAATGTGCAGAAAGAGAGGTTTTGGAAGAGACAGCCTTGCACCTAACAAACGTTCGCTTTGCATCAACTGTAAATTCTGTTAGTCTGAAGGATAATTACCACTATGTAACGATCTTAATGAAAGGAGAGGTGGATATGAATTATGAATCTGAACCAAGGAATCTGGAACCTGATAAAAATGAAAGTAGGATATTGTATTTTTTACTCTTCAGTGAGCATTAGGTAGTTTCTGTCACCACATTCTCTGCATAGTATTAATGTAAGATTATATTTTTCTTGTATCACGTATGAAAATGCTGTCACATACACTGATTTTTTTACTGTTTTTGGTGAGATTTAGGCTGCGACCTTATAAAGTATTACCTTGGGAGTAGACTAGGGTTGCCATATCTTGAAGAGCAAAAAAGAGGACAGCCCAAGATGGTACAGATGCGCATGCCTCTTTCGCCAGCTTGGGTTGGCAGTGGCCGGGCATGCAGACCACGTGCGCCTCTTTCCCTGGTTCAGGCTGGCACCGGCCGTGGCATTCAGAGCAGCGGTTGCACAAGAGAAAAATAAATAACTCCTAAACCCAGACATTTCCTTTAAAATGTAAAAATCTCCCCAGATGGGCATGTTTGCCCCCCAAAAGAGGACATGTCTGGGATTAGCCAGACGTATGGCAACCCTAGATTAGGCTCTATTCTTTCCAAGATGGGATGGCATTTTGATGGGGACCACATTGTGTGGATGCTGCAAAATACTTGCATGCATGAGTGGCACCAAGTACACAATAAACTGGGTGGAAGCACTCAAATTCAAATGCATCCTCACCCTAGGGATGAAAATATTTGGGTGTTACCTGAGCCAGGTCATAGTTCTGACTTCTGAACTTGCAAGTATCTATCATCATTTCTCTCTCTTTTTTCTTTGTTTACAGGTTGGGAATGGGTAAAATGGGAAGAGTTTCCTTCAGCAGATCAACTGTTCTGGGCTTTATGCTGCTTAAAAGAACAAGGTTACAATCCTTTCACAGAAGAATTTAATCACCCTTGTGGGATACACTGGAAATCATTGTGTGAAAAAAGAGTGCTAAATTTACTACATGGGAAATATGTGTTTTTACAGAGACATTTATTTGTAAAATGAATTCTGTATCACCTGGGAGGGGGTAGTTTTATCTAAGCATGAAGTCAGCTACTTCCACCAAATGTAGCAATAATCCCTGACACTAAACATGCCACAAAAATGCAGCATTTTTGCAATCAGTGTTTGTCTTTTTTGCCTCTACTCTTCAATCTACAATGGCAAGTAAGATTTTGATGTAATAGATATGCACTATTACAAAGCAAGTGTGGAAGAGGGTACAGTAGAGCAGCTTTCCTGAAAGCGTGATGAGCGCTGCAACCCCATAGTCGCCTTTGACTGGACTTAACTGTCCGGGGCCCTTTAAAGGTAAAGGTAAAGGTACCCCTGCCCATACGGGCCAGTCTTGACAGACTCTAGGGACATCTCACTCAAGAGGCCGGGGGCCAGCGCTGTCCGGAGACACTTCCGGGTCACGTGGCCAGCGTGACATCGCTGCTCTGGCGAGCCAGCACAGCACACGGAAACGCTGTTTACCTTCCCGCTAGTAAGCGGTCCCTATTTATCTACTTGCACCCGGGGGTGCTTTCAAACTGCTAGGTTGGCAGGCACTGGGACCGAACAACGGGAGCGCACACCTTTACTTTATTAAATACATGGTTGTTCCTTCCATATCATGTGTGATAACACGCTGATTGCTTTTTGAATGTTGTTTTTGATAAACAAGTATTGTGTTGTATGTTTCATGTTGTGTCTTCCTCACCAAAATAAGTTTCTCTGGGTCAATTTGGAGAGTTATCATCAAAAACAAAGCACAGAAAAGTAGTTAATACACAGAGTTTAGGGGACCTGTGGCTTTTCAGGTAGGAGAAACTCTGACAATGAAGGCTTGAATGCCTTTAGGAAAGCAGTGAGAAAAACTTTTCTGCTGACAATATTTAGGAGTGACACATTACTAGTGGATGCTGCCAAATCCAGTGACCATTGGCACCCTTTTCCTCTCCCCAAAGGGTTTTCCACAGGAATAATAGATTGCTGGTGCCAGGAATGATTGCTTACAGAGGGTTTACCCCCCGCCCCGCTTCTCCCATTACTATTCATCTTGGCCCCTTCCTCTAGATTGCCCACTCCCACAAGAAATTTCTAGACTGAGGGCCACAGGTTGCCACCTATTTTAGAATGAGAGTAGCTGGCAGAGCAGTCCCCATGACAACAGGACATGCAATTTTTAAAGGTGGGGCAGCAGCAACATCTGACGACCAGATGCATCAGTCACCACTGCCTTAGCAAAACACACAACAGTATTTTTAAAGATGAAGCAAGCAATTAAATATATATATAGAACTGCCTAACTTGAGGGAAAAGACCAGAGGAAGCCTAAAATATGGAGATAAAGCAGCTACCATGCAATGCTGCTGCAAAGGAAAAGAAACAACACCTGCAATTTCACAGACCATATTTTTCGCTCTATAAGACGCACCAGACCATAAGACACACCTAGTTTTTAGAGGAGGAAAACAAGAAAGCAATGCAAAGCCTCTTGAGCGAAGAGGCAGGAGCGTTCCTGCTGCGCTCAAGAGGCTTTGTGTGGCATTCACTCCATAAGACGCACACACATTTCCCCTGGGGGGTGTGTGCGTCTTATAGAGCGAAAAATTAAATGAGGTGGAAGAAGATACCTACTTACATACCTTCTCTGGAAGCCCAACAACCACCAGGTTTAGCACAAGCCAAGGGTCCTAGATCACCCCCATTGTTCTGCCCAGACACCGAGGTCCAGTGCCGAGGGCCTTCTGGCGGTTCCCTCGCTACGAGAAGCCAAGTTACAGGGAACCAGGCAGAGGGCCTTCTAGGAAGTGGCACCTGTCCTGTGGAATGCCTTCACACCAGATGTCAAAGAGAAAAACTACCTCCAGACTTTTAGAAGACATCTGAAGGCAGTCCTGTTTAGGGAAGCTCTTAATGTTTAATAGATTATTGTATTTTAATACTCTGTTGGAAACCCAGCCAGATGGGCGGGGAATAAATTATCATCATCATCACAAAAGCTGCCTTTACCAGCTTTACTTCCTACCTGCTCACCACTGAGTGGAGGTCTGCAGGCACCAGTTGGGAACCAAACTGGGCTAACTGGTGGCTCTCTCTTCCATGGTTCTTTCAGTTGCTCTGAAGCTATATACCAGTCCATGGGGGATCCTTTTAAGTGAGGTGAAGTTCATTTTCCTACACATTTCACCCAGTTCAAACTACACTTTTCTCAGAGTCTAGCAAAAAATTTTTTTTAAGAGTAGGGATGGGGATAGTGCTGTTTCCATAAGAGGACAAAGCACTGGGCAGGGATTTGGCTGCTAGGATGCTGGTGGCAGGGGCCAAGTGCTGGACCATGCTGAGGTGCAGCTCTGTGGTATGTGAGGAAGTGCTGCATGGCCCTGCCCACCCCTGGGGTTCCTGGAAAGCTGGTTACAAGGGAAGGCGAAACTCAATACAGCAGGTCCTGGAATATGGACAGTTGTGAGTAACATACTGCGTGAATTAAGTGGTGATGTTAGTCCTCCCTATCAGTGCTTTTTCTTTCTAAATCACCCACTACTACCCCCCCCCAGCAACACACCTAACCTTCAAAGGCGAAATAAAAAACTAAGCATATATATACTGCAAGCAACCCGAGGGTGCAATCCAAATTCATGGTTGGCAGTGGAGGTTAGAACTGTGTAGCCACTGCCGCATCCATAGCTGTCTCTGGCACAGGAAAAATGTCTCTACTATGTGGTCCACAGGCTAGCACAGTAGAGAGGCTGAAATCAAATCCATTACTACCACAGCGTGACCCAGCTCAGGATCCAGTACTGGCCAATGCCAACTCCCAAAATGCCATGGCAGGGATACAGTGGTACCTCGGGTTACAGACGCTTCAGATTACAGAGGCTTCAGGTTACAGACTACTAACCCAGAAATAGTACCTCAGGTTAAGAACTTTGCTTCAGGATAAGAACAGAAATTGTGCGGCGGCGGCAGCAGCAACAGAAGGCCCCATTAGCTAAAGTGGTGCTTCAGGTTAAGAACAGTTTCAGGTTAAGAACGGACCTCCGGAATGAATTAAGTTCTTAACCCGAGGTACCACTGTACTACCACCCACTGTTTACATGGTGACATTCAGACACTCACCGGAAGGGTTCCTTTGCCACATCCAACCCCCTTCCAGCACAGCCGGTTGGGAGTTAGGATTGTTCTGTGAATAGTACAGCAATCTTCAATATCGCATGTACAATAGAACTCTTGGCACTGTATCCAAGGTTTGCTTGAACAGAAAGCAGCTTGCCTAGAGTTCCCCTACACTGCCCTGTAAAACCTCCAGAGGGCTGTAAGGCCCTCCTGAATAATGTGCACTGTGTTTGTGGGCACTGGCGGGGTGGGGGGCTCTGGAGGGAGGGTAGAATAATCCAAAGTAGCGGAGGCACTTGGTGTGTGCATTCACCTGATTTTAGGTGATTTTCCCCCACGCTGGCAGCAGCTGCCAGCACAGCCCTTGATGTTCAGAAGGGTCTTCAGCCCTATGGAGAGGCTGTTCAGAAAGATTGTTGTGGGGTGGAGTAGGTTGAGCTGAGGAAGACTGGTTGGATCAGCTTTATTTCGTGCAACAAGTGGATACAACTTTATGCCCTCCTATTCCATCGTTTTCAGAAAAAAAGATGACTAGTGGTATGCTTTTGTTTGAGGGAAAGCTTGAGGGGAATTAGTAAAAATTTCCTCAGTCTGTTTGCTGTCACCACCACTAGAAAAAAGCCCCTTCCACAAATTAATCAGATACCACTTCCTGCAGTTGTTCTTTCTGTTTCTTCTTCAAGAATTTGTTTTATCTACACATTGAAATAAATTGTGTTACAGCTGCTGGAAACAAGCTTCACTTTCTCCAGGACTGTTTCCAGCCATAGCTGGGTTATTCTGAACAGCAATTCATACAATCTAATGAAATAAATGTCAAAGTTGAAGACAGTTTCTTTCCTTGCAATGTGGCTATCTGGATTGCAGAGCAGGTGCTTAATGATGTGCGCCAAACAGACTGAGATGCAGTCCCTAATCTGAGTCACTACTGCTGGTTGATGAATCTGTTGACATGACTTCCACATCATCTTCATTCTCCTTATTATGTCCAGGAGGTTCCAGCATAAAGTCATTGCTGTGATTAGGCGGTAGCATGTTCATTGACATGTCGCTTGATTGCCAGGGATACTGAGGTGCGAGTACATCTAAAGGAAAAATGAAATGATACAAAAATCACACATCCAGATATTTTCATAGCAATGTATTTTAACAAATTGCAGTCCATTGTTATGCACAGTTTAGAAGTTTCACAGAACTATGCAGTTCTTTATTTCTAACTACAGTGGTACCTCGGTCTACGAACAGCCTAGTTCACAAACTATTTGGAACACAAAGACTTCAAAACTGGAAGGTGTTCCAGTTAGTGAACTTTTTCTGGAATCCAAACATACTCTGTTCAGGGGTGCACTTCTGTTTTGAGTGCCACACTTCTGTTGTCTGGCAGCGGAGAAGGGGGTCATCATGGCGTTTCCTGCAGCAGCGAGGGAGGGAAGCTGCGTGCCCGCTTGCCAGGCGCGCAACTCCCCACCCCATGCTGCTGCGGGAGGCGCGTGCTCTAGGGAGCATTTCCTGCAGCAGTGTGGTGGTGGTGGGATCTGTGTGGATCCCAGTTCAGCTACTGACTGACTGACTGTGTGACTGCGGAAATGGATAAAAGCCCCCCCTCCATCCGAACAATGACTCATCAGTGCAGGTAATAAATTTTAATTTTTATCATCCACAATACTGTTTTAATTATTTTATAGTACAGTACATTGATTATTAGGGACACGGGTGGCGCTGTGGGTTAAACCACAGAGCTTAGGACTTGCCGATCAGAAGGTCGGCGGTTCGAATCCCCGCGACGGGGTGAGCTCCCGTTGCTCGGTCCCTGCTCCTGCCAACCTAGCAGTTCGAAAGCACGTCAAAGTGCAAGTAGATAAATAGGTACCGCTCCGGCGGGAAGGTAAACGGCGTTTCCGTGTACTGCTCTGGTTCGCCAGAAGCAGCTTAGTCATGCTGGCCACATGACCCGGAAGCTGTACACCGGCTCCCTCAGCCAATAAAGCGAGATGAGCGCCGCAACCCC